GGGGGCAGCTTGAGGCTCTGTCTCAAAAAAAAAAAAAAAAAAAAGAAATAGTAGCTCATAAGGTAATTATCCAAGACTGTGATCTTATAAAGGAAAGGAAAAAGTTCTTCAGAGAAACCCAGGAAGTATATAATGCTAAACACCAAGGAAAGCTATGAAGCACTGAACAATTTACTGTTGGTTCACTTGTCGAGTTTATCTCCCTGAACGACACCAGGCATAATAAAACAGGGGAGAGGTCTTCACTCACAACCAAGATTTACATTAGTGGTTTTCAACCTTCCTAATGCCACAGACCTTTAGTACAGTTCCTGTGGCTGTGGGTTGCGCCCCACAGGTTGAGAACCTCTGATTTACATCAAGAGGTGGTTAAACACACACATAGACTGTATAAAATAACTATAATTACCTGATCACAGAGGGACTGCAAAATGGATGTGATATATTCAACACACTGTTGGCGAATGACACTGTCTCCAGGAGACCGCACCAAAGCTAAAAGATCCTGGAATATCTCTGCATATTTTTCATCACCTTTAATAGTTCCATTAATTAGATGCAAAATAGCTAATTTACAAGCTTTGTGTGAAGCCAGAGCATCAAGAAGAGCAAGCAACCTGGTGGTTTGGCTAGTGTATTGTTTTTCTTTATCTTCTGAAGTGCTGAAATAAAATCAACATATTTAGTAAACTAGTTCTTGATTTTAAGACATTGCTTATCTTATATTTATTTTTCAATACCTATCAGCTCACACAAATTTTGTATAAAGCATTTCACATCTTAAACATAATGAGAACTTCTCTGGCATCTTACAATTACTGAAAATTTTTATAAAGTCAGGTTTTTTCTTAAATCAGAATGCTTCTTTATAATTCACCTTCCAAAAACCCAAAAGCAAGACCTTCAAGGTATCTTGTGCATGAAACAGTGAAATCTAAAACTTTCTAATTAAAAATAATCTTCATATATACATATATGTGCATATTTATGTATGTGTGTATGTTTACATGTATATGTAGCACTGGTCATTCCAAACCTTAGTTTTCCAAATTGTAAATGAATAAAAAAGTATGTGTCAAAAATAACTTGAGGAAAAATTTTTAATGCAAAATGAAAATACCTTTGCAAGTCTTCTACAATCAAATCCAACACAGTTCTCATAATCAGAAGTGCAGTTGGTGAGGCAAGGTCACACAATTGAACACAAATACGCCGTAACATATGTTGAATGGGCTGGCAGGTTGTGCCAGAGAAAGAGCGAACTATTTCTTGGAGCAACTTTGCTTGAACATGAAGGTGCATGCTCCACAATTTTCGGGTGTTGAGTGCCACTGATATATCATGTGGCTCAATAACCTGTTAAAAAAGTATAATGTGTGTGTACGTAGATTTTTATATTTATTTATACTCACAAAAACTGTTCAGGAAGAACTGTTATGAAAAGAACATCTTTACTGCATGCTTAAAACATTTAATTTTCTATTATACAATTAAACATTTGCTTGAATTCAATGAGTCTAAAAGATCTTATCGTTCTCAGGTTAGCAGTCAGTTGAGTAGAGTCCATTGGTGAAGTAACCTAGTTATTGACAAATTCTAACACATGATAAAGGGAGGAAAGGGGATTTAAAATAACAGGAAAATGTAAATACAATTATACATAACAGCATAATAAAACTCACTTTAACAAAAATTTAAGTAAAATATTACCCTCATATTTCCTCAGTGACCAACTTGCTTCAGTTTTATCTCTCCCTCATCCAGTTATTTTATGTCTTTTTGGGGGGAAGGAGATGAGGGTTTGTTTTTGTTTTTTAACAAAATCACTGGCTTTTTAAAAAGTGTTACTGCAGTCATTTATAAGATGCATGTTATATGGAAGTGATACCTGAGTTGTTTGCATGGGCAATGGAAGAGGCAGCAGCTCTGAAAGAAGTATGAGTCCAGAAAAAAATCCTTCAGGAACCTTCAAGATTGAAGAAAGAACTTCTTTTAACATTAAAGACCAAGTATTATTGGCCAGAGTCTCTTCTGAAATTGTGAGTTTTTCATTAACTCCTTGTGTAAAAGTCAGTAAAATATCAATGATGTCATTCTGAATTTTCTGTTCATCACTATCCAAACGACCTGAGAGGGGGATAGAGCACAGGAGCATATGTAAAGTAACAAGTGCTGAAGGAACACGGATGTCCTTAAACTCAAAGGATCCACCTCTCAGGAGTTCCGTTAACATAGTTTTAAGAAGAGTGAGTGTGCAGCGAGCCATTGAAATAGTAGTAACTCTGTGAAGGGTAGTCCCCATGTTGACATGGAGCCTCCAAGGCTGAGTCAGAATACTGTTCAATTTTTGCAGAACTCGAATAAAGGTGTCCATTCCTTCAGCGGAAAAAAGCTGAATAACAGCAAGATTCCATTTCAGATCTTTCTGCTGACCTTTATGTAAGAGAAGAAAATACTAATTACTTACATGTTAATAATGGTTAAGAATTTTGAACAGTTAATAAATGATATTTATACTAGGCTTAAAGAACAGCAGTTTTTAAAGGTAGAGTAGCCACGCTACCTTCAACAGGAGGTGGTGGGCATGCCACATTACAGAGAACACGTAAGGCAGTGGTAAGGCCAACTCCTTCTGGGGTCATCAAGTTATCAATATTCTTTAAAAATAAAAATGAACAATAAGTTTTATTTCTTGGTACCCATCAGATAAACAGAAAAATCCAGACAAGGCATTAGTCAAAAATCAGAGCTTCTGATTAAGTACGTACAATATTTCATATTTGTTAAGCAAATTTAAAACATGAAAAAATCCTTAGAGCTAAGAAAGGTTATCAAGATTACTTAATCTTTGGCAGAGATTGCATTATATGTACTATTATTTGGCATATATGTACTTAATGTTGTACTATATATTATGTAAATAAAAAGAACAATTGTAATATAAGTACATTAAAAAGTACTGACTAAAACACAAGCAACAAACGGAAATGTATGAGAATCTCTATATTAAGAGTTTAAAATGGCTTCTTTCTATATACCCTTTTTATACATTTTCCTTCCCCACAATGAAGCAATGACTCCATATTTAAAAAGCCCTGTGGGTACTAAACCTCTTTCAAATCTGAGGAAGCAACAAAGAATATTTTTGGATTACATAACATACATTTTAAAAAAAAAAAAAAGCAAAGGACTCTAGTTATTATAACCAGCTGGGAAATTATTTAGAGGAAAAAAATACATTACCTATGTCTTTAGCACCTGTCTACGCTATGTTTTCTGGCAACAAACAGTTATGTTTAAATTTTTATAGCTTTCACAGACCAGCATTATAGATAGATAGGTTAAAAACTTGTAAGAAATAACATTAAAGAATGTTACTAGTCCAACTTCTGGCTGGGCCAGATGGTTCATACTTATAATCCTGGCAAGCTAAAGCAGGAGGATCCCTGGAGTCCAGGAGTTACAGACCAATCTGGGCAACACAGCCAGACCCTACCTCTTCAAAAAGTTTTAGAAATTAGCTAGGTGAGGTGGCATGTGCCAGTAGTCCAGTTATTAGAGAGACTGAGGTAGGAGGATCACTGAGCCCAGAAGTTGAAAGTTATAGTGAGCTATCATCTGGCTACTGCACTCCAGCCTGGGTAACACAGTGAGACCCTGTCTTCAAAAAAAATCAAAACAAAAAAAAAATTACTATTCCAACTTCTAAGCCTCAGTGTATAAAAAACTAATAAATAAAATTATTTTCTCTCATATATTTCCCACTTTAGATTATCTTTTCCTTTAATATTTTCCTTGCAATTCCACAAATCACATAAAGCAGCAGGAAGCCAAAGAATGAAGTTTCAGTCTTGGATCAACTGTTTATAGGCCATCTGAGGATGAGAACCACTTATAATAATCACAATTAGTGAGATAAAGATTTACATTAAAATTAAAACTCTTTCAAGCACAGCATATTATTCAATTTTCTACAACTAAATTTCTTACTGGTTAAAGACTTTAAGTCATCTGATTATTTATTGAGCATCTTGTTAATACTCACTCAACCATGCACAAGAACCCAGAATACATGACCATCTAACTTTACAGGATATTAATTGTACTTCTGCTAAATAAAAGAAAATATAGTGAAAAGTTCTAGATGTCATCTAAGACTCAGGGTAAGAACACAGAAGAACATGATGAAACCACAGGAAGTAGAAGTACTCATAGGAGAGATGGAATAAAAGACAAGGGCACGGAAATTAGTAAAGAAAAATCTGAAACAGAGTAAGCTGAAACAATACTGTTGTGTCAGAATAGCAACAGATTAAACAATGTACATAATTACTTTAGTAACACACACTGCAATTCTAAGACCAAGATGTTTATACATCTCCTGCTCTCTCTCACTCTCTCTCATACACTCTTTGTCACACATACACACAAGCACAAAGATTTCACCTACTAAATGAAAGAAAAAGGTCCATTTTGTCCAGCTCTAGCACAAAACATTTTATATATGCATGAGTGCCTTTAGCCCTTCTTCTTATGTTACACATTGCATCCACTAATGAGCAAACTATGAGCTCATCCTAGCACTCTGGGAGGCCAAGGCAGAAGGACTGTTTGAGCTCAGGAGATAAGAGATCAGCTTGAGCAAGAGAAATACTATATCTCTACTAAAAACAGAAAAATTAGCCAGGCATTGTGGGAGGTGTCTGTAGTCCCACCTACTCCAAAGGCTGAGGAAGAAGGCTCACTTGAACACAGGAATTTGAGGTTATTGTGAGGTAGACAGACATCACGGCACTCTAGACTGTCAACAGAATGAGACCCTTGTCTCAAAAAAAAGAAAGAAAGAAAGAAAGAAAGACCAAATTCCAAAACTAACAATGCAGTGATTTTTTTCATTATAAATTACTTGAACTGTATATGAATATTTTCTACTATTGAGTTTTATGGATTTCATGAATTTCAACTTTTATAAATTATTTCAACTGCAGGTATGACCACACAAATTAACAACATAGAGAACAAGCTCCCACTGCAATTATCTGGAAATGGCCCTAACAATTTTCACCTAAATATTTTGACTGAAATTCTTTTCCACCAATTAAAGCCTAACTGAAAAATTATGTTACATTATGACATCATTTATTTTATTTATTTATTTATTTATTTTTTGAGACAGTGTCTTACTATGTTGCCCTCGGTAGAGTGCTATGGCATCACAGCTCCCAGCAACCAAATTCTTCGGCTTATGCGATTCTCTTACCTCAGCCTCCCAAGTAGCTGGGACTATAGACACCCACCACAATGCCTGGCTATTTTTCAGTTGCAGTTGTCATTGATGTTTAGCTGGCCTGGGCCAGGTTCGAATCCTCCATCCTCAGTGCATGTGGTTGGTGCCATAACCACTGTGCTACAGGTGCCACTCATGACAGCATTTAACTTTAAAACATTTTTATAAACATCACCCAGATGGTAGCGATATTAACCCTATCAAAGGAAAAATATAGGACAGAACCTGGTAATGGATGTATGTTAATGCATACACATTACACATCTATCTACATCCATATACCATTCTGTATCTACAATGTCCAATAAATTAATCAAGGACATTTAATAACTTCTGAATTGCCTAAACAGGTGATTTAATGCAATATCACAATATACTACCACACAGTTTCATAAAAATCAAAAGCACTTTTTAAGTTTTACCTACCTGTTTAACATATTCAATTAAGTTTGGGATGCAGTTAATTTCAAATCTAAGATTTTTCAGAGGTTCAAGCCACTTGCCAAGTTCTTAAAAATAAAAAGAATAATTAATAAGATTTTAAAATAAAAGTTTTTATGACAAAGAAAGTAAAGGATTTTTTTCAAAGAAAAATGTTATCAGATTCATACTGATTTCAGCAACGTAAATTTCATACAGCAATGAACTTATGTCTAACTCTTTAAACAAGTTTCCAAATGAAATAGCCCTACTATATTTAAATGCTTAAATAGTCCATTTAATTCAAATGAATTTTTTTCAATAATCAATTTACAACATTAAAAACAGATTTAGGAGACAGCTAACAAACCAACATAACATAGGGTTTATTTATCTATTTTGCCACTGCCTCACCCTCCACCCCACCAAAAGTATAAACAAAATGTATTCATTTCTAATGGAATCACGCCTACAGGGAGACATCTTGCTGACTGCCTTTTCCCTTAATGTAAATTTTTAATTTTTGATTTCCTAATTTGCCTTTATAAAATTAAAAGTAATTTCTTTTTTTCTTTCTTTTTTTTTTTTTTTTTTTGAGACAGAGCCTCAAGCTGTCCCCCTGGGTAGAGTGCCGTGGCATTACAGCTCACAGCAACCTCCAACTCCTGCCTCCGCCTCCCAAGTAGCTGGGACCACAGGCACCCGCCACAACGCCTGGCCATTTTTTGGTTGCAGCCGTCGTTGTTTGGCGGGTCCAGGCTGGGGATTCGAACCCGCCACCTTAGGTGTACGTGGCTGGCGCCTTAGCCGGTTGAGCCACAGGCGCCAAGCCTAAAAGTAATTTCTATCATGTCCACAGAGTAACAGCAAACTTTTTTTCTTTTGAGACAGAGTCTTACTTTGTTGTCCTAGAGTGCCATGGAGTCATACTTCACAGCAACCTCAAACTCCTAGGTTCAAGCAATTGACTCTCATGCCTCAGTCTCCTAAGTAGCTGGGACTACTGGCACCCACCACAAGGCCTGGTTATTTTTAGTGGCAGGGTCTCACTCTTGCTCAGGTTGGTCTTGAATTTGTGAGCTCAGGCAATCCACCTGCCTCAGCTTCCTAAAGTGCTACTATTACAGGCATAAGCCACCAGGTCCGGCCAACGGCAAACTTTTTATTACAGACACTTCATAGGGAAGAGTAAAGGAAATGAAAAACAGTAATCATGTCTCCCCTTGCTTCTACACTCCCCTGTGAGTATAACAGCTGTGAACATTTGAGTATTTTTTCTATATACTTTTAAATTAACTCTTTCATATATACAGAATACATAGCATAGATAAACAATATTAACAATAATATTAAAACAAATAGCAACGGGCCAGGTGCAGTAGCTCACACCTGTAATCCTAGCATTTTGAGAGGCCAAGGCAGATGGACTGTCGCCTAAGCTCACAGGTTTGAGACTAGCCTGAGCCACAGCAAGACCTCGTCTCTAAAATAGAAAATAGGTGAGGGTTGTGGTATGCACCTGTAGTCCCAGCTGCTTATAAGGCTGAGGCAAAAGAATCACTTAAGCCCTTGAATTTGAGGTTGCTGTGAGCTATGACGTCAAAGCACTCTACCAAGGACAACAAAGTGACACTCTGTCTCAAAAAAAAAAATAGCAATGTGCCTATCACCTAGAAAGAAGTAGTAAAGCATTAACAATACTTTTGGGCTCAGCACCTGTGGCTCAAGTGGCTAAAGCACCAGCCACATACACCCCAAGGTGGCGGGTTCAAATCCAACCCAGGCCTGCCAAACAACAATGACAGCTGCAACCAAAAAATAGCCGGGCATTGTGGCGGGAGCCTGTGGTCCCAGCTACTTGGGAGGATGAGGCAGGAGACTCGCTTGCGCCCAGGAGTTGGAGGTTGCTGTGAGCTGTGATGCCATAGCACTCTACCCAGGGGGACAGCTTGAGGCTCCTGTCTCAAAAAAAAAAAAAAAAAAAATACTTTGAAGGTAGTGTGTACCCTCAATGCATACTTAAGGGAAAAAAATCTATTCTCAGGATGGGAAGTTGAGTTTACTACCTAACTTTTACTGGAGATGTAACAGGTAAAGCTTAGGATTAAAATGAAAAAAAGAGGCCACATGCTATTGTAAAGCATTGTTACAATATTTACTCAATATTAGTAAATTTTCTACTTGATAAAGCTAGAAAGCCAGAAGCCAAAATAAAATAATTAAAAAACTGTGATTAAATACCTTAAACTTTTCAAGACTGCCCACACAAGGGTTTGCCATAAACTTCATTCAATACACATTTATATATTAAAAAGATAATGGTTCAAATTTATTCTTTACTTTTGAGAAATGCAAACATGTGTTACTCCACAACAGATTTGTAAATTATACTTCAAACTCTGTTATACTTAGAAATATAGCGACAGCAAAATACAGAGGTAAAACTGTACCCAAAAATGAAGGTGTTTTTTTTTGTTTTTTTTTTTTTGAGACAGAGCCTCAAGCTGTCACCCTGGGTAGAATGCTGTGGCATCATAGGTCACAGCAACCTCCAACTCCTGGGCTCAAGCATGTCTCCTGCCTCAGCCTCCCAAGCAGCTGGGACCACAGGCGCCCACCACAACACCCGGCTATTTTTTGGTTGCAGCTGTCGTTGTTTGGCAGGCCTGGGCTGGATCTGAACCAGCCACCCTAGGTGTATGTGCCTGGAGCCTTAGCTACTTGAGCCACAGGCACCGAGCCAAAAATGAAGTTTTGAGTTTGTCTTGAAACTATTAAAACTACTCTTGCATTTTGATCAGAAACTTCAACTAATATACAATTTTCATGACTTTCCAGAAAAGGGTACTTTTGAACTTTTTTGTTTATATACTAAGATGCTTTATAAACCTTTAGTTTTATAAATTATATTCATAAAAGGTAATTTCAGGAAGTTAAAAATAAGAATATTACTAGATATATTACTAAGACATGATGAAGCACTAATTACAGATATTCAAAGGCTTTTTCCTTCACGTTACAAATGCTTAAAATAACTTGAGTACCATACCTTGCAATTTAGCATTATTTTCATCTGCTTTACAAAGCTTCAAGAGAGATGGTGCATGTTGTTCTAGCATTTGAACATCACTGGAAGACTGAACCACCACCAAAATAAGTATGCATGCATAATTATAAGCTACTGACTTCTTAGATTTGGAATCACTGAAACAAAATAAGGTTTGTAAGATTTGAGTGTGGAAAGTTAAATTCCAAAGTTAGTTAAGAAATAAGAAGAACAATGAAATATTAGCAAGTATACTTTGTTAGTCTCCTTTAAAATATTTCCAAATCTGGATAAATAGGAGCAAGTGTGATCATTTGCCTTCAATATTCTATCTTCCACTACAGAACTTTTATGATACAGCTAGGCACAGAAGCCACTATTACTTGCCTTTCATAGGCACCCCCCTGCAAATGATCTGTCACTCAAGAAGTTATACCAAGTCCCCATTGTGAAGAAAACTATCTGGATATCACTATTCAGTGTGACATGAGCCAGGAAGAGGCCAAGTCTCTCTTTTCATACATAAAATCTCTGCCCTCCACACACATTCTTCGTAACTATTACCATTCTCAATTCCTCCTAACTAGTCAAAGCAATTCAGAAACCAGAGTACCTGAATGGCTTTCAAGGCAAAACTAGAAGATAGCAACTCTCTTCACTACTCTCTTTTTTTCTGAAACACTGTCTCATTCTGTCACTCTGGGTAGAGTGCCCTGGTGTCATAGTTCACAACAAGGTCAAACTCTTGGGCTCAGTGATACTCTAGTCAGGGGTTCTCAAACTTTTTAAACAGGGGGCCAGTTCACTGTCCCTCAGACCATTGGAGGGCTGGACTGCAGGCCCTGGAAAGAGTCGGCTGCTAAACAGGACAGGCAGCAGGGGCAAAAACATCTGGCGGGCTGGATAAATGTCCTCAGGTGCCTGTATCACGCCCCACCCCAATAGTTTTTCTTTTTTTAGTACCGACAGGGTCTTGCTCTTGCTCAGGCTAGTCTCAAACTCCTAAGTTCAAGCAATCCACCTGCCTCAGCCTTCTCACTACTCTTAAGGTATATATATTCCTGTCTTAAAATTCCCCTCTGCAACAAAACAGCAAGAATACCACAGTTGGAATCTTTGCTAGCATCACAGGGAAACTGAAAACTGCTGCTAAAAGGTCCATTTCACTGCTTTACAGGTACATCTTATATGTTAGAAATTACTGTCATTCTAATCCTTAATTAACAAGTTATGTATTATATCAAAAATAATTTTTTTTTCTCCTCTCAAAGCAACACCTTCTTTTAAGAAACTAGCATATTAGTGATCTAGTTTTCTAACACAATAGGAAATTTAAGGAGTAAGTAGAAAATTACCCTAAGGCTTCTTTGGAATAGTACTCCATTAGAGTAATAAGACTTTGGAGATTTTTCTCCAGACTAAAAACATGGCCAACAGCTGATCTTCCCACAGGATTAAAAGTAATCAGATAAAGATTGTGAAGGGTTCCCAAGAGATCTGAATGGTCAGTTTCTTCACTGGCTGTACAACGCTGAAAATGGCTGAATAGTTCTGTAATACACTGCAACGTCTGTGTTGAGTCCTGTAGCCATAAGGCAAAAGCATCATCAATAACACCATCAGATGGAAGACCTTCTTCTTCATCTTGATCATAAAGATGACACAGAGCTCGTATCAACAAATTTGTTGCTTCATATTCCGACATAAAAAACAGAAGACCCTTTTGTGACTGTGCAAGAAACTTCAAAACATCTTTTGTGGCTTGCAGCACACCAGGGTGGGCACTTGTTATAGGAATTGACAGAAGCAAGGTAACCAACTCCAAGAAGTGATGACTGTGAAGATATCTGTGGACAAGTTAATGAATATATGTCAAGTCAGTGCAAAGCATTCTTCATTTTTTCAATATTCACTATACTGGAAACCACTAAAACTTTTTTTTTTTTTTTTAAGATAGAGTGTTGGGTGGCTCCTGTGGCTCAAAGGAGTAGGGTGCTGGCCCCATACCCCAGAGGTGGCAGGTTCAAACTGAGCCCCGGCCAAAAACCACCAAAAAACAAAACAAAACAGAGTGTCACTTGGTTACTCTCAGTAGAGTGCTATGGCATCATTGCTCACAGCAACCTCAAGATCCTCTTGCCTCAGCCTCCCAAGTAGCTGGGACAATCAGCACCCACCATAATGCCTATTTTTTTAGAGACAGGTCTCCCTCTGGCTCAGGCTGCTCTGAAACTCCTGAGCTCAAACAATCCACCCACCTTGGTCTCTGAGAGTGATAGAATTATAGAAGTGAGTCACCATGCCCTTCCTCCAGTAAAACTATTTAATGGCCATAATCCTTATCCTCAGTAATATATTGCTTTAACTGAAAACACAATGTGAGTAGCGAGTCTTTTTTCCACTAGACAAAATAAAAGTGAAAGTTCTATGAGGCTCTGTCCTAGCTAGTAGACAACAGATGTTCAACAAAAGTTGACAAGTTTTCTCTTTCCAGAGTTAGCCCTGACTTTAAATTCTGGGTCTTTTTTCTTTTTTTTTTTTTTTGAGACAGAGTCTCAAGCTGTCCCCCTGGGTAGAGTGCCGTGGCATTACAGCTCACAGCAACCTCCAACTCCTGGGCTCAAGCGAGTCTCTTGCCTCAGCCTCCCAAGTAGCTGGGACCACAGGCGCCCGCCACAACGCCCGGCAATTTTTTGGTTGCAGCCGTCGTTGTTTTGGCGGGTCCGGGCTGGGGATTCGAACCCGCCACCTTAGGTGTATGTGGCTGGCGCCTTAGCCGGTTGAGCTATAGGCGCCGAGCCAAATTCTGGGTCTTTTTTCCAAGCCACTTATCAAATGCTTCTTTTTCACCCTGGTCCTACTCTACCCATATGAATTAGTGTATTTAGAAAAAATACAGTGTATATACTATACTATAGTGTATAGTGTTTGTGGATTCAAACCAACTGTGGACTAAAAATATTTTTAAAAATCTATCTGACCTGGCTCAGTGCCTGTAACACAGTGGTTATGGCGCCAGCCACACGCACTGAGGGTGGAAGGTTTAAACCCAGTCAGGGCCAGCTAAACAAAAATGACAACTGCCATTAAAAAAAAAAAAAAAAAAAAAAGCCAGGCGTTATGCCGGGTGCCTGTAGTTAAGACTGTCTCAAACAAAGAAGGCACCCTATATGTATTGAACACATACAGACTTTTTTCTTTTTCCCTAAACAATACAGTGAAACAGAGTAGCGCCTATGGTTCAGTGGGTAGGCCCCATATACCGAAGGTGGCGGGTTCAAACACAGCCCCGCCAAACCGTAACAACAAAAAAAAATAGCCAGGTGTGATGCCATGGCACTCTACCAAGGGCGATAAAGTGAGACTGTCTCTTAAAAAAATAATAATGATAATTTAAAAAAACAAAAAGAATACAGTATAACACTATTTACACAGCATTTACACTGTACTAAATATAAGTAACCTAGAGACTATTTAAAGTATACAAGATGTGCATTTTTTTTTTTTTTGAGACAGAGCCTCAAGCTGTCCCCCTGGGTAGAGTGCAGTGACATCACAGCTCACGGCAACTTCCAACTCCTGGGCTCAAGCGAGTCTCCTGCCTCAACCTCCCAAGTAGCTGTGGCACCCGCCACAACGCCTGGCTATTTTTTGGTTGCAGCCGTCATTGTTGTTTGGTGGGCCCGGGCTGGATTTGAACCCGCCACCTTAGGTGTATGTGGCTGGCGCCTTAGCCACTTGAGCCACAGGTGCCGAGCCAGATGTGCAAATTATTGAGCCATTTTATATCAGGAACTTGAGCATTCTCTGATTTTGGCACCCAAAGGAGGTCCTAAAACCAATCCCAAATAGATACTGAGGAACAAATCTACTACAGAAAAATATCATATGCTCAGAATTACTCTAGTCAATCTGAATTAATATCTCTAGTAGGAAAAACTGTCAAACTATCAATGGTTAACATGTGCATACTTAATATTACCATGCATAGCACTCTTTTTATCAAATCCTAGAACTATTCTTTAGTATATGTAATCTTAGGGGGGAAAGAATGAACTTACCAACACTCTAAAATGGACATAAATGTAATTGGCAACTTTAGGCATTAGTTTTCTTATGTGTATAGATTTCTTTCCTTACCGATAGGCACTGCCAGATTTAAACATTTTTTCCTTTTCTTTTTTTAAAAAATGAGTTGGGAGGGAGGGGGAATCTCAATATGTTGCCCAGACCAGACTCCTGAGCTCAAGAAATCCTCTCACTTCAGCCTCCCTAAACTCTTCTAAAATCAACATTTTCAAAATGAAACTTAACCAAATTTTAAGGAAAAAAAAAAAAAACAGTACCTTTTCGAAAATTAAAAAAAATCAAAAAGACATTTCTTAACTACAAAAGAAGACCAACTTAATGTAAATTTGTCAATTTTGAGTTAGGATGAATATTGTAATTTTCTGAATACTAAAAAGGATAAAAATTATTCAAATTCTGACTCCCTCTCTTCATAATTTTAATCACTGTGAGTGGTCACATAATAGCTTCTGTAAGCACTTGTCAAAATACTACTAATAAGTGAATTAAGAAACAGAATTTATTTTTATCAAAAGTTAAAATTGCCTCTTCAATCCTGTTACTGCTAAACTCATGCTTCTACTTCATGATAATAAAACTTCACCCCAGTAACTACTTACTACAAAGCCAAACAAAAGACAAATTCCAGAATGTCTATGCTCTAAAACCATCCTTCACCACCTTATTGGAAAATAGTTAACCTAGCAGGCCTCAGACTGCTTATTCTTAGAGGCCTGCACCTGACATTTAGGAACTTGGACTTTTGGGAGAGTTCCCAAACACTGAACTGGTAAGAATGGCTCACTGTGCCTACAGTATTTTTGCAACAATATAGTTTTGAACATCTGCTTTTTTGCTAGAAATCTGGAATTCTGGTACTATAGACAGCGAGTAGCTATGTGGCTATCCCTAAATAAAAAGCCTGGGCACCAATTAGCTTGACATAAGTATGGCACGATGTATACATTTATCAAAATGTCACACTGTACCTCATAAAATTTATAGTTGTTGCTTGTCATTTAAAATAAAAATTTAGGTTCGGTGCCTGTAGCACAGTGGTTACGGTGCCAGCCACATGCACTGAGGCTTGCAGGTTCGAACCCGGCCTGGGCCAGCTAAACATTGACAACTGCAACAACAAAAAAAAAAACAGCCAGATGTTGTGGCAGGCACCTATAGTCCCAGCTATTGGGAGGCTGAGGCAAGAGTTTGAGGTTGCTATGAGCTGTGATCCCACAGCATTCTACTAAAGGTGACATAACGAGACTGTCTCAAAATAAATAAATAAATAAAAATAAAATAAAAAAGTAAAAGGGACACCAAATTTCTGAAGAACTTCCTCAACAGGCAATATTTCACACATGTCACAACTTGTCATTGGGGGAATTAGGCAGGCCCAGTGTGACTCCACTGAGAAGACTCTGGCAGCTTCTGACTAGTTTTGCCAGATTTTGTCCTACACCTTTTTTCTTTGTGAAATGTAACTACATGCTGAAACTTGTGAGTCCTCCGAGAGAATCTTAGTGATCTTATGGACACTGACACAAGACATTAGGACACTGGAGTCTTGCCATCAAATTAATCCTTCCAAAATGCAATTATTTCTGCTTTCAAAATTCACTTCTCCCTCCTCATTTTACCAGTTTCTATTAATAAAACAAGCTTCAATTGTTACCCAGGGTAGAAATCTCTTGCTCCTTTTCACTTTCTCTTATCTACTAGTACTATAATTAATTGCTCTTTCACAAACTCTCTCTATATTAGCACATTTGTTTTTCCATTCCTTGTGTCACTATTTTAGACCAAGTACTTAAAACCTAGTACCTAGAAACCTCAGACCACCTTACCTACCTAATAACTAATTTTTTTTCCATTGCAACGCATCTTACAATACAAAATCTTAGAAACTACTCTGATCATACTAAATCTGCTACTCCAAAATATTCAAGATCTTCCTGCATCCCCAAAATAAAATCCACATCCATTCAATGCCCGTTATTTCCTCTAGTCTGATATCCAAACCTACCTGCTCCAAATATGGAGAAAAAAACAACTATCAATTTTTAACACAAGTAGTTAGTATTATTATGCACAGCACTCTTTATCAAATCCTAGAGCTATTCTTTATATAGTCTTAGGGGGAAAAAGAACATATTCACCCAACACTGCAAAACGGACATAAATTTTACTGACAATTTTAGCCATCAGTTTCCTTGTATATATGAATTTCCTTCCTTACCATCCTTACCTTCTGAACCTTTCAAATGTATCTGACACAACAAACCATTCACTACTTCCTGAAACTTGGTTTCCATGGCATTATTCTCTCCAAGTTTTCATTTTGTCTTTCTATTCCTTCTAAGTATCCTGCCCACACTCCTACTCTGGCCATACCTTACACATTACTGCCCCACAAGATTCCACTGATCTCCTCCCACTATACAATCTGTGTAGGATGCCAGGATCTGGTCTCAAGCATTCACTTTGGGCCTCTTTCTTTCTCAGGGTTTTCCCCAAAGCCATTAAAGCATGCTCAAATGACAAACAGAACAGCTGAGAAGCATGGAAGAGTTAAATTTCCTGGTACATAACCTTCAGCCAAAGGGGAAAAGACCTGGTTGACAAATGCCCCACCCTGAGTCTTTCAGGAAAGGGTAAGTAAGAAATACATTTTAGCCAGTTCCTCAGAGGGTCCCAATAGTTAAGATGAGCCCTAGGTATCCACAATAATAACTTCAATAACAGTTCCTTTATTGGCTTTTCTCCTCTCCTTATTTTACTCTCTTCATGCATTTCTGCTTCCTAAGGTAACCCTTTCAAACAAAAACCCAACTCCCAAGACTTAGACTCAAGTTATCCCTTTAGGGAATTCAAACTAAAACAAGGTTTAATAGCTTCAGCTAAGACAGGAATTGATACGTACAGATTTTAGAGTGGACACTAACTCCACCTCCTGATAATGTACTGTGCTCCAAATTAAGGCAAAAACTAATCACAAAAATAAGTAATAAAATAATAAGAATGCTATTTTCCATTTTTAAAAATTTTTATTTATTTTTTTTTATTTCACGTTAAAGTGAGGGTACAAACAGCCAAGTCACAATATTTGGAAGCTATTTTCCATTTTAATGTTAGAAATTTATTTACAGGCACAATGTCAAAAAAGAAAGTCTCAAAAATTAAAACAAAATAAAAAGCCCAGGAGTTTGAGGCTGCTGCGAGCTAGGCTGACACCACAGCACTCTAGCCTAGGGCAATAGAGTGAGACTCTGTCTCAAATATAATAAAAAAAATAAAATAAAATAAACAAAGGAGTTCACACAGAAAGGCTCTTTTCCCATGTCGCCCCTCTGTATAACTTTCCCAGAAGCAACTCAGCAGTTCCTCATTTATTCTTGCTCATAGACATGCTTACAGAAGCATTATTGTTAATTATTACAATGTTTCACTTAAGTTCTCAATTATGCTTTAAGTACTAACACGATGTGGGCTCACCTACCATAACATACTTCTCAATCCCACTATTAAATATCTATATAGAAATATCAAGTACTCTCACATAGATATGCATTACCTACCTACAAACAGATAAAAAATAAAAGAAAGCACATAAAATTGTTTCCAGTGATTTGTGAAATATATTTCTCAAAAACCAAATATATCATACCTAAAGAGAACAGGGTATGGATCATCCCTCTCTGGAGGTCCAGTAATTCGTGCCATCGTTGGGAAAGACTTCACAGGGGGCTGGATCATTGTATGAGGTGCAGTCTCCATTAAATGAAAAACTTCTTCTAGGAGGTTAATAAGCTTTTCTATTTCCCCCTCACTTATATTTGAAGATTCCAAAAGATCCATATCCATAGAAGCTTCTACTTCATTTTCATATTCTGGGTTTGTTCTCTCAAGTCCAGCATCTGGGTCATGATCAGGTTCACTGTGGTTAGGAACAGATGATGTCTTCTCTGCTAAATGATCACCAAGTCTTTTAATCTCTGACAAGATTTCATAGAAATGGCATTTTTGGAGAATAGCCGAACCAGCAGTGACAACCCTTACAGTCTGATCTAAAAGTATGAGTTCCAGAAGTTTTTGATAGCCACTTTTTTCACCCTGCCTGCCTCTTAAAAAAGCTTCCATTCCTTCTGTCATACTAATGACACTGTCCAAAGCTTTAAAAGCATTTAACTTAAGAGAAGATGATACATGATCAGCAAATAGAAGTTCAAATAATCCACTAATCACGCCTGCTTGTAGCAATTCTGTGACTCCTTGAGTACCACATTCTGCTAGTGAGGACACTAATTTGGTCCCAGCTTTGAGCTGTCGAACATTTAAGGCAATGGGTTGGCGAAGGGCTACTTGTAAATTTAAAGCTTGCATAGTCCAGTCCACTAACTGGCCAAGGGAGTCTTGTTTTGTGTTTTTCAATTGCAAATAGCTTAATCCTTTTATTATTAAACTTGGAATTTCCTCCAAGGCTGTTACCCATCTTGCACCTCTTTCCTCCCGATACAAATCTAACAGTTCAGTTAATTTCACTGAGGCTTCTATTGCCCCTGAATTTTCTTTATCTGGACCTTGATCCTTCATTCTACTGATTTCAATTTCAAAAGTTGTCTTGTATGGACAGCTGAAGTATAACAGTGGTACAAGCTCCCTGTCATATGGATCATAAGTCATAGGAGGAACTGAAGCTAAATCTTCAGCAGTGTATTCAACATCAAAGTTTGGATACTTAAATGTTTCACGTTCTAAGTCTGCAATTCCATCTTCATCACTGGAAATTTGTTCATAGCCATCATCCCCTGAAAAATAGTTTGAATAATATTTGATTATTACATCATTGCTGTTTAATATATAACATCTGGTTAAACAAAAAAGTTTATTTAAAAAAAAGTTTATTTAATAGTATGGCAAACATTAAGAATAAATAATTTTCTCAATGAAAATCAATTTCCACCCCAACATCTTAATCATAATTACTAACATTTTATAATTCCTAATAGAATAGTTATGGACAAATTCCTTAAGCAAATGCTACCAAATCTGTTCAGCTTTATAACAAACTCTGTAACAGATATCTTTTTCTCACAGAAGCAAGATTAGAAATGCCTCAAAGTAACAAAAATACCTCCCTCAGGAGGGAAGAAATTAAGCTTGTCCTCTTGAGAAACTGTTGACTTTCCTTTGCTTAGCCTTCTTTTGACATTCCTTTGCTTAGCCTTAATAATATACACTAACATTGAAAACATAAAGGCCTACAGGGCTCACCAAGATAAGCCAGATGTTTTATATTAAATATTAAATAATCCAGCCTTATTCTCTCACCTTCTGTATCAAAATGTATTCTGCCTACCTTGAATTTAACTACTTTTTGCTGGTCAAATACAATAAATCTAAAAGGATCATTTAGTAATCTGGGAATAGGAGAAACTAAGAAAAGCCTCACTCAATGATCCAACCATTGTGTATTCTGTAAAAGGGCCTCTGTGGTTCTGAAATGACACTTGCTCTCTCATCCCTATTACAGAAAAAAGCCAAGGC